GCCTGCCAGGTTTCCACGGGACATGGCTGATTTCAAAACTGAAGTTTTGAAAAGGAAGAGTTTACTTGGACCTATGCATGGAGACGAGAGGTATTACGTGAGGCCTACTTTCTGAAGAAAGTAGGCTGAAGTTCCCCCACCATGCCCAGCAGTACCCTAGACTTGCTGAACCAGCTGGAATGGCTTTCCTATCAATTCTAAGCACTGCACTACTATTTATCACAGCCTTCCAGCACAGCTGTGGCTTGAGCCACAGTCTCCAAATGCTGGTCCCAGATCATAGAAAACTCCTGCTCCCTACTAACCTACTGGTTTTCACTAAGTGACATTGAGCTCATACTTACATGACTAGCATTATGCTGGGTGATGAAGATGAAACCGAGATGGTCTAAGAGATGTGATAGGGGAAGAGTGACAGAGGAAGTGAGCTTGGAATGTATTATAAATGTGTGAAAATATAGCAATGAAATCTCCCTCTAGTATAAACTAGTAATAACATTTTTAAAAATAAATGAGGCCAGGCACTAGTAGCTCATAACCTGTAATCTAGCTGCTCAGGAAGCTGAGATCTGATGATCATGTTTCAAAACCAGCCCAGGCTAGAAAGTCCGTGAGATCCTAGTCTCCAGTTATCCAGCAAAGAGCTGTAAGGGTATGGCTCAAGTGGTAGAGCGCCGACCACCCTTGAGTAAAAAAGCCAAGTGAGAGCCTGAGGCCTTGAGTTTGTCCCAGTACTGGCAAAAAAAAAGAAAAAAAGGAGCTGGAGGGGGGAGGGGTGGAGTGAGAGGGCCTGCCTGTACCATAGGTACTTTATGCTCTGGTTGAATAGATATGCCAAACATTTAACCAATTAAGGAATATGTGTGGGGGCTGGGAAGGTGGCTCAGTGGTAGAGTGCTTGCCTTGCATGCATGAGGCCCTGGGTTCCATTCCTCAGCACCACATAAGCAGAAAAAGCTGGAAGTGGCTCTATGGCTCAAGTGATAGAGCGCTAGCCTTGAGCTGAACAGCTGAGGGACAGTGCCCAGGCCCAGAGTTCAGGCCTCACAACTGATCAAAAAATAAAAAAAAAAGAAATGTGTGTATACACGTACACACACAGACACACGCACGCGCGCGCACACACACACACACACACACAATTTCCTTTGTTAGGGGCCTACAAAGATACATGCAATGAGTGCCTAGAGTATTTCCCATCCGTGGCAGAATGGCAGAGACATGCTGGCTCTGAAAAGGCCCTGTGGTTCCTACAGCTGTTCCAAAGAAGAATACAGTGCAGGTGGGGCACTTGGAAAAGTAATGTTAGCCTGGGATTGGAAAGCTGGTAGGGATTTTCAGAGAAGCATTTCAGAAATGTAGCAAGCACAGCATCATGAGAGTGGAGGCCAGGGTGGTAGTGGTCTCTGGAGTGCCTGGCTTCATTGTTGCTGCAGAGTTCTGAGTAGGAGTGACAGGACAGCAGTGAGCATGTTGGAGCCGGTGGAGTCGGGAAGAAGAGGTGTGATGAGCAACAGCAGAGACAGTCCTTCCTAGGCACGAGCTCCTGCCCAGGCACGCCAGAGAAACCTAGGAGAGACTGGCTTTAAGGAATTCCATGAGGAAACCAACTATAGACACCATCTACCTAGGAAGATGAAGGTTTTCTTACTTAACCAGTTTCTTCTTGTGTTTTACAGATTCAGCCAGTTATTGAACAAACCTTCCCTTTTTCCAAAGTTCCAGAAGCCTTCCTGAAGGTGGAAAGGGGACATGCACGGGGAAAGACTGTAATTAATGTCATTTAAATAAATATAGTATACGTTTTGTGAATGTTTATCTTTGGTGAGTTCATGTGATCCAAATGTCTTTCTAGCCATCTCCCTCAGATATTTTCATTTCAAGTCCATGGTATGTGTAAAAATAGCCACACCTGTGGCTGGGAAGGTGGCTCAGTGGTAGAGTGCTTGCCTTGCATGCATGAGGCCCTGGGTTCGATTCCTCAGCACCACATAAGCAGAAAAAGCTGGAAGTAGTGCTGTGGCTCAAGTGGTAGAGCACTAGCCTTGAGCTGAAGAGCTGAGGGACAGTGCCCAGGCCCAGAGTTCAGGCCCCACAGCCAAAAAAAAGCCATACCTTTTAACCAATAATTTGTCAGTAATTGCTATACAAGTATCAGAACTTGGACTTGTCTGTTGTCAGTGACAATTACACATTGTTTAAGTTTCTTTTTTGTACAGCTTTGAAGATTGCAATGGCACCTTCTAGCAACTCAAACATTATTAACCCTTGAGGTCCCAAAGCTGTCAGTGTGTGAATGGATGTTAGCATGATGAACTTTAAGATCTAGTTTCTTCATGATTTCATCAGCGAGTATTTTTCTGACTGGCTGCTACAGATTGGATTTGAAATGTCTCCTGAAGGTCCATGTGTGTAAGGCTTTGTCTCTCACCGCTGGTGATATTGGGAAGTGATGGACCCTTTAAGAGAGACTTAGTGGGAGGAATTTAGATCAAACAGCTTGTCCCTGGGGGAGATAGCGAAACCCTGACTCCTTCCTTCCTCTCTCTGTGTCCTGGCCACCATAAAGTAAGTTTTCCTTCACCACTCACCCCCACCACAACATGCTGATGGCACTATATGGGGAGGTTGTGGAAACTAGGAGGTAGAACCTAGCTGGAGGCAGTAGGTCACTTAGGTGTGTCTTAATATCTTGGTCTGGGTCCCTTCCTGCTTCCCTCTCTTTGCTTCCTGTCTGCAATGAGGTGATGTTTTTTTTTTGTATATGCTTCTATGAGACCACGCAACCATGGATTTAACCCTTTGAAACTGTGACCTAAAGTAAATCTTTCCTCTTTAAATGGTTCTGTCAGATACTTGGTCACAGCAATACAAGCAACTAATACAGGGCTCTGCTGGAATGGAGGCTGCCCATGTTAGTCTGGCAAAGAACGTGGGTAGTATATTGTCCATGATGCATCTTTCTGTGAGGCTGAGTTTAAAGGTGAGGAGGAAATTTTGAGACAACACAGCCTACAGGCAGCAGGATGACTTTTTACCAACTACTCTTAGCCAATTTTACAGTAAGAACCAGGAAAAGAGCAGAAACAAATTAGAATATTTTGCAGTTTAGACAAAAGTGGAGCATGCTGCAAGGAGTGAGGCAGTTGCTAAACGGATTAGCACTGTGGGAAAAGAAAACAAAAACCCCAAAATACTTTGCATTGAGACAATAGAAAAGATGCCTGGATGGGCTGGGAAGGTGGCTCAGTGGTAGAGTGCTTGCCTTGCATGCATGAGGCCCTGGGTTTGATTCCTTAGCACCACGTAAGCATAAAAAGCCGGAAGTGGTGCTGTGGCTCAAGTGGTAGAGTGCTCGGCTTGAGCTGAAGAGCTGAGGGACTGTGCCCACGCCCAAAGTTCAAGCCCCATGACTGACCAAAAAGGGGAGGGGGGAAAAGGAGCATCTTGCAGGCTAGTGTTTAGTAGAGTTAAAGTGCCTGGAGGCAGCCTCTGAGGGGGTGATGCATGACCTTGAAAGTAAAGTCAAAGTTGCAAGGGAGACCCCAGGAAGCACATTGAGAACCTGTCAAGGGAAGCTGAAGGTAGCCAAGCAGAGCTAGGCCAAGAGAGTGGTCATACAAGCTGCAACCAGTAAGGCCATAGCAATGGGGCTGCCCAGGCCCGGTGGAGCTCCTATCAGGTGCCATGTATCCCAGGTGCAGATATAAAGCTAGAGGATCTAGTGTGTGCCTTGATCGGATGCTTCCTTTTTATGCCCACATTCTTCCCTTTTGGAATGGGCATGTTGACACCCTGAGCCACTCTATCTTAGAAGTACGTAACTTGTTTTATTTGTACAGAGCTCACAGCTGAGTTTGCCTTGAGTCTTAGAGGAGACTTCAGACTTGGATTGTCACGCAGTGCTGACTCTGGAGAGGGCCTGAATGCATTGAACTTTGTAAAATGGACATGAGCCATTGGAGGCTTAGGGATCAGGCCTATGCGTGTAAAGCCTCTAGCCTATGGCAGGCACTATTGAGGGGTGGTAGGACCTTGGGAAAGCTAGGTCATTGGAGTATGCCTTTGGAGGCGATCCTGTAACCCTGGTCCCTTCCTGATCAGCACAAGCTGACAGTCTTCTACTACTCATTCCCACCATGATGTGCTGCATCACCATGGGTGCCAGAAAGCCAAAGAACCAAAGAGCCATGGGCTGAAACTCCCAAACTAACAGGTTAGCTAAGGTTTCCTTTTGCTTATTTCCCCATCTTCTCATCCTCATCATCACCTTCACAATTCTGAGTTCCATAGGCTCGTGGATAAACATCTAGCCTGTCATTCGTGTTAGCGTTATAACACTGGAAGGTGATGCCTTGTATTTTGCATTCGGGCTGGGCCTCTTTCAGTAATAGATGGTTTCCCATGGCCACTGCCTTCATTTTAACAGAGTCTGCGATCAACCATTATCTGACCTCACAAGCCTACATTTATGTTTCTCACCAATAAACCGACTATGGTATATACTCCTCAATCTCCAATCATCAAAGGTATGTTTTACAGTTTGATTCATCTATATCTCCTAGAAACTTAGATATTTTCTTCTGCCTTTTGATGTCCAGAGACCTGTTTTTACTTTCTCCTTCATTAATTCTTGCTAAGACATTCATCTAGTAGCATGATGGATTGTCTCCAGAGTTCCTGTAGAATTTTCTCTAGATTTATCTCAGTATTTTAGTATTTTTCTATTTCAAAAGAAAAAAAAAAAACTACCATTTGCGCTTGGCTTCTACCTGAAGTGTCTCAGCCCTTGCCTCTGAAGGCTCCCAGATGGAAGTGAGTGGTTCAATTCTCAAAAGAGTATGTGAGACAGGACTTCCCCTGCCTCCCTATCTAGAAGAGTGAGGATTAGTCAGACTTCTCCTGCCCTAATGTATAGTCTGTCAGACATTTGTTTTTAGTCTGCCAGCTGACTCCTGGCAATGTACTGAGGGTTCCTGAACAGACTCAGAGCTTAGTAATTTATCAACCAGAAGAAGTTTATTCAAGAGAGATTCAGCAGAGACCACTGTAGAATCCCCTACCCCACTACATTGTAATGATATATATACACAAAAGGCCTAAGATCAGAGCTACACAGGTAAGACCTAGACAGCATACTGAATGCTTTGTATGTGTGCAAATGCTATATTTAAACTAAAGCTGGACCATTCGGATGACAAGGGCCTGCCATGGGCTCCAGAGAAGGAATGCACTCTTAACAGATAAGATGAAAATCCTGAGACAGGAGCACCAATGTTGAGTGGTGAGGACAAAATAAGGAAAAACATATTCAAGGAAATGTTTAGAAGTTTTGTTTGAAACTAGAATTCCCTGTGAGCAGCAAGAGATGGGCCCATGTGTTGCCAGCAGTTAAAAGTTCCCATTTTCATTCTTGAGTTGCTTAAGAGTTTTAGGTTCCTCAAGAGCTCTACATTTGACCACCAAGCAGCCCTGAGGGGGCTGCTCTCCTGTACTTTCTGGATCTGTACTAGTTTTCCCCTGGGGTGTTATAACCCTCTGTGCTACCAGAAGGATGTGATACTGAGGAAAAACACTGTAGAACATGTGTTCAGTACTTGCTGTAGATGAGTAAGGAGGGCTAATAAATTAGGCCATGGTAATACTGTTCCAGTAGCAGCTGTAAAAAGGCACTTGTGACATTTAGAGCAGTCCATACATGCGTTATAATAATCTAAGTCCTGCTAAAAAAATTAGCAGACATGAACATGAAATTTCATAAATTCCTAATTTTAATATTAATTGAAAAGTGTTTTGTTATACTTACTGAGCTCCTTATACCATCTCTGGATATATAAGACTTTTCACTATTCAACATAATTTATGGTTCTAGTAAATGCTGAGGCCGTGGACCAAAAGTACAGGCCTAATGTAGCATTCTTCTCAGAGGTAAACTGTTTTCTCCCTTACACACCTGACTTCTGTCCTTCCTTTTGAAGGGATGTGCCAGTCCACAAAGTCAGTGAATCTGGTCTTTTTCCCCTCCTGTCACTGTCTTTGGAAATAATTTAAAATGTACAGTTGTGACATAACATCTTTCAAAACAAAAAACCCAAATGTTGCTGATGTTTAAGTAGCTACTTAGAGGAACTGAAAGGCAAGAAATGAAAGGAGGACAAGTTATTGGTTCAAAACTACCAGTCTTTGAAAAGACAATTATCCCAGTTGTGGCTGTATTAACCCAAGACTGAAGGAGTTTGTCCACTTTCCACTGGGCTCCTCCATGCACACTGTCCTTCGGTGCTTCTTTAAAAAGGTGGCCGTGAAGACTCTCCCGTAAAGGTTGCTCCTACTTTCTTTCGTCAGCTTTACAACACCATGGCCTCCCACACTTGCGTTAACTTCTCTTGGTTGACCGTGTTGAGGATAATGTGGTTTTGGTCATACTGTGCACCCCCTGAAAAAAAGAAAGGACAGTGAGCAATGTGCCCAGAGAGACAGCAACAGCACACATGCACACTCCATCCCAAGAGCCGTGGAACAAAAGCTGACTGCATAAAACGGCTCCAAGGAAAGAAAATGCAAGAAAGCCTAAGGCCTGGGCGATGAGGTGGTCAACCTGCCGTAGACTGATGTGAAAACCCATCAGACAGGATATTTTACCTTGCAGGTTTCCTTTTTTGTACCCAGTTCTCAGTCACTCTATGTCTAAAACTGAGAAGCAATGCGGGGGTGGGAAATGTAAAGGAGGAAAAAAGCAGAGACACCACTGTATGTTTAGTGGTGAAATGGGTTTGAGAAACTAGTGAGAACTAAGCAGGCAGACCTAGAAAGGCAGTAAGAAGTGGCTATGAAAAGCAACAGATTTTTCGACATAACATCTTGTACATCTCATTGTTGCAATGGGTCCTCCTGTATCCCTATTTAAACGATTTGTTTTTTCCCTTCCCCTCCACAGGTTATATCAACATCAAATACAGTGAAAGCAGGGGTTATACTACTGGGGGAGGGACATACAAAGCAACAAAGAAATAATCTTATAAATGTGTTAGAAACAATTGCATGAAAGAAAAAAAAACATTTGAATACTTATCTTAGGGTTCATTTCCCCAACATCAACTTACCTGACCTTTTCTGCTTGACTCAGACATATACTAGTTATTGCAAATAAGGGAAACCATAGGACCTATGTTTCTTTGGCCCTGGCTTATTTCACTTAATATAATTTTTTCAGTATTTTCACAATTAAAAAAAAAAGAAAGAAAAGCAACAGATTTTGCATGAATAATGGAAAATGGTTGCAATTAGGTAAAAGGCAAGTGAGCACAGGAACACAGAAGCATTCCTGCTACTTATACAACTTCACATACAAGTTGATAGCATTTAAGATGATGAGTACCACAGTACTATAAAAGTAGGGTCATGGACTCCTCAACTCTCTCTCACTGGAGTGTGTATGAGATGACTTTCCAAAGGTACCTAATAGAAATTTCACATACCTGAGGAGAAAACCAGCTTCATGGCTTCTTCAATAGAGAAGAATCATCAACAAAGAAAGGGTTATCTGATTCCCCTCTCCCCTCCCTACTGTGGAATAAACACTTTCAGATACCTTAATCTAATACAGCAAAAGCCTCTCACCAAAGCTCTTCCATCAGGGGCCCCCAGAGAAATAAAACTGCGCATATATGCAGGCCATGACTGGGACGGAAATCATAGCTCATCCTCAGGCCAAGGAGTGATCATCTTTCCTTTAAAACACGTAGAGCATCAGAGACAACTTACACGATAGACCTAGGTTGTTAGGGAAGGAGTCATTGTTATCTAGAGGCTCGACCCTGCAGGGTGGAGCAGGAGCACAGGACTCTACCCTGCAAAGTAAGCTGCCACCTGGCTCTTTATAAGCTTGCAATGGGAGATAAAAGTTCCCACAGTCAAGACTTAAGTTGGAGTTGAGCCCTGGTTCAAGTGGTAGAACACCTGCCAAGTAGGCATAAGGTCCTGAGTTCAGCAACAATAAAGACACCAAGATTTCAGAAAGCACTAAGGGCCCCAAGATACCTTACTATATACTTTTTTGTGTGTGTGTATTACTTTGATTCTAATTAGAATCATGAAGCCTAAAAAGTGAGAAATAACTTAGCTAATTTGGGAGGGAGGGGTTAAATCATCCTAGTTCTTTTATTATTTTCCTGGTTTAGAAAATACTGGACCAGTCAATATAGACAATGGTATGTGAAGAACAAACTTTTTTTGTGTGTGTGGGTCGTGGGGCTTGAACTCTGGGCTTGAGCGCTGTCCTTGTGCTCTTCAGCTCAAGGTGAGCATTCTACCTCTTGAGCCACAGCACCACTTCCAAGAACAAACTTCTTGATGTGTATTTGGAGATAGAAAGACTATCCTTCAAGATCTGATCGTAGAAGTGAAAACCAAAAACGGATCCACCATTGCCAGTAGGCCAAACTACCACCTGAGTATTTATTCTAAATCACTGTTTACTGCTAATGTACCTGGGAAGGGTTGCTGTGTCAGTTACATGTCAGCTCTTGGCAAGTAGGACTTAAGGAAGAGTAATTGGAACAACTTTTAACTCTTACTTTAATGAAATCATTCTTAGTCCCTTAAGTATCAAGAAAGGTGCTGCTGGCATTGTGTGCTTGCAATCCTAGCACCCAGAAGAGATGAGAAGGATTGGGAGAAGGAAAGCTACTGCTTGGTTCATTTAGTTTTCATGATCTACATAGCTGTTTGATTGGTTTGCCAGACTTTTCATGTTTTGAAAAGTGAGCATGAATCAGCTCCATTGTTGTAAGACTGGATAATACTTAAATGTCTACCAAAACAACTTACTCCCCAAACATAAGCAGAAGAAAAGCAGCTGATTTAACAAGTCCTATGGCAGTTTTTACAGGTAACAAATGGTTACTGTGTAGCTAATGAAAACCATGGCTTCCTCCTAAGGGCATCAAAGACAAGAGGCTTGTATTCCCCTGCACAGGAGACAGGCTGTGCCTTGCTCTGGCGTGTCCAGAAGGTGGCATCATTCATCCACATTCTGGAACAAGAAAGGAAGTAACTATTGTAACTGCTACAATGGACATGGCACAGAGAATTTGCAAATACACTGGACAAAGTATTAGAGCCTGAAGTGACGCACTCAGGAACCTCTTGGAGCCACATAGCTTGGAGCCAAGAACATTTCACTGTGGTTCCTCAGTGTCAAGGCAGAGAGCCTGCCACACAGAGGCTGCCCAAGCAAGGCTGCTCTGGAGCCTGGACAGAGGACACCAATTACACTGGAGCAACGCAGAAGTTTGCTCAGCCTTCTTTTGGGGTCTAACCATTCTGATTTTTCTGAATTCCTCAACATTTCAATTAGTTAATTTCCTTGTCTTCTCTGAGGATCTTACTCTCTTGTCTAGAATGAGGAGCCCTGCCATAAAGTTGGTCATAGTAAGAATAAAGACAGCCCTAGGTCAGTGATTCTTAAATAGTTTGAATCTTAAACCATTTGAATTCTACATTGACCATCCATAAAATGAGCATTCTGCTTATCTGCTGTACCAATGTAATATGAGGAATGTATTTATGTTCTATATGCTACTTGCGTGCATTTTCTATGTCTAGTCTATATTACATTTTGGTCCCCGTCCATCCTGTAACCATGGTGTCTAGTTCCTGTGCCCTAACTGCTGTTCTCTGCCTCTCTCAGTCCCTTCTCACTACTCAGTCCTAGTGGTTCTAATCTCACAGAGCAGCTAGCCATTCTGCCTACTGGACATTATCAGACTTGAAAGATACTTCCGGTCCCCCTGCAGGTATCAAAGTCCTCGATGAAAATGTTCAGGCTTTACTTTCCATTTTCCAGAAGTGTCTTAACAACAAGATCACAGCGATTGCCTGGTGCCGGTGGCTCACGCCTCTAATCTTAGCTACTTGAGCCAGCTGTAGCTATAATTGAGAATGGAGGAGTGAGTATGGTATACTTACATTTTCACTAGTTCACTATATTATAAAGCTTAATCATACCGTCTTTCCTGATAGGGAATAGAAAAGTGCCTACTGATAATTTACAAATTATTCCAGATATGAATAAACGCTGTTCCCATTTATTTTAAATAGCAACAACACTAGCTTACTGACTTCCCGTGCATAGGTTAGGGGTAGTTTTGTTTATATTGTTTTAAATTTCCATTAACTATTCCCTGGTTCAGCTGGTTCAGGCTAGCTACATCTGCAATGCCTAGGTTCTTGTTAGGAAAGTAAATTTTTGTGTCCCATTCCAGATTCCTTGAGTCAGGAACTCCAAAGACTTGGCCCACTAATATGCAGTTTTAAATTCAGGGCCCGGGCTGGGAAGGTGGCTCAGTGGTAGAGCCCTTGCCTTGCATGCATGAGGCCCTGGGTTCAATTCCTCAGCACCACATAAGCAAAAAAGAAAAAAGCTGGAAGTGGCGCTGTGGCTCAAGTGGTAGAGCACTAGCCTTGAGCTGAAGAGCTGAGGGACAGCACCCAGGCCCAGAGTTCAGGCCCCACGACTGGACCCCAAAAATAAATAAACAAACAAATAAACAAATTCAGGGCCCTACTCTGAGCTATACCTTTAGTCTGTTTTGCTTCAGATTATTTTTCAAATTTTGTCCCTTTCCCCCTCCCCTTTTTTTTTTGCCTGACACCAGCCTGAATCTCAATCCTCCTACTTATATCACCCCATAGCTGGGCTTATAGTGTGTGCCCAACTTATTTGCTGAGAATGGAGTCTCAATAATATCCCCTCTCCCAAGTAGCTGAAACTACGGCTAAGAGGTACCATGCCTGGCCTCAATCTATGGTTTTAAACACGCCTTCTAGATGATCTACTACATATGAAGTTTGAGGACTATTGGCCCAACTTAGTCTTTCCAAGCACAATCAATTCACTTTAGATTAACTTCATTGAACACATGTTCAATTGAAATCCTCCTGGCAGTTAATTCTTTTTAGCACTTAGGTCTTTTCAATAAAAGGCTACAGGTACCTGGTGCCGGTTGGCTCATGCCTGTAATCCTAACTACTCAGGAGGCTGAGACATGAGGATGGCTATTCAAAACCAGCCCAGGCAGGAAAGTCTGTGAGACTCTTGTCTCCAATTAAATCACAAAAAACTGAAGTGGGGCTGCAGCTCAAGTGGTAGAACAAAAGAAACTTAGGGACAGCACCTAGGCCCAGAGTTCAGCCTCAGGACTGGCCAAAAAAAAAAAAAAGCTGATATATAAATAAGAACTACACTAATAAGAGCACAGCATTTTAACTGTTACTTTTAGTCTTACACTGTTATAAAAACAGGGCTAGGGGTGTAGCCCTGTGGTACAGCACATGCTTAGCATGTGCTCTAGTTTGTTTTTTCTTTTTTGTTGTCCCATGTGGCTTGAACTCTGGGCCTGAGCACTGTTCCTGAGCTCTTCAGCTCAAGGCTAGCACTCTACCACTTGAGCCATGTGCCCTAGTTTGGTTTACAAAGAAAGTCAGAAAAATCAGTCAAGTGTCCAGATTTTAGCCTAGCACTTCAAGAGATGAAACATGAACAAACTCATAAACCATGCTCTGCCTTAGGTTTTGGGGGGGGGGTATTGTTTGTTTTCTGGCAATTAAACTGAAAGGGAGCAGAAAGGGAGGGAAGGATAGCACAGACTACTAAGACTCCTGTGGCTATCAAATGGGCCATGTGTATGGACTAGCACACAGCAGAGAGGCTCTTACACTAGTGTATTAACACTGCTCATTTTCTTTTTTTGGGGGTGGGGGGCGTTCCGGTCTTGGGGCCTGAACTCTGGGCCTGGGCGCTGTCCCTCAGCTCTTCAGCTCAAGGCTAGCACTCTACCACTTGAGCCCCAACACCACTTCTGGCTTTTTTTTCTTTCTTGCTTATGTGGTGCTGAGGAATCGAACCCAGGGCCTCATGCATGCAAGGCAAGCGCTCTACCACTGAGCCACCTTCCCAACCCCAAGCACTGCTCATTTTCAAAAGTTAGGAGCAGATCTTTTTATCCCCCTTAAGAAAGGTACAGTGCATTGAAGGAAATTCTCCTTACCTTTGATGTCTAGAACCAGATTTGGTTTTAGCTTGCTGTAGATCCTTCCATCTGACTTCATGCACCAGAACTGACAGTCGACGTTCTGGTCCAGAGCCAGGCCAAGCTTGGAACCCGATGTTACCAGGCTGCCCACAATGGTCAGGCAGCAGTCTTCTGCGATCTGCTCAGTGGAAAACAAAAGTATCTCAAAGAAGGATACATATTAAATCTCAAACTTTATTTATAAAACTAATGTAGTCCCAGGCTTCATTTGTCCTATGTAAGGCATTTGGCTCCTATTCCATAGGACATGAGTGATGGACAGTTCTTAATTCCTGTCCATTGTCCAGGAGACTTCTGTCACTCGTAAGACTCCCTGGATAACTGGTGAGCGAGGCCTCAGGACAGCGACACGGCTGGTGAGGTACTTTTCCCTGGCGGAAGTGACTGAACTGAGCCCAGGTCTGTAGCTTGGTCTCTCCTCGCCACCCCACACCTCTGCATGTCCTGACCTTCCGTATGCAACTGTACTTCTCAATGCCCAAGCACTGGGGTGGCTACAGAGCACTTTATCTCAAAACTTGAAATTGCCTTGATTGGCTTCTTGTCTTTCCTTTGTCAGAAACTCCCTCAGTGTGCTACCCAGCTAGAAAAAGAAAAAGAAAATGCAAGCTCTGTAGAAGCCATTTAAGTGCAAACAATATTGAGGAATCCTTCTTGAAGCCAGTTTACCCTTCATCATTAACAGGGTATGGCAGTCAATGTCCATATACCACTAACACATGGTATTTCTAAAGAAACAGATGGGAAGGGTACTAGTCTATGCTAGAGATATGCATCCTTTTCTAGCTTGTGAGACAGTGGGCTTTGATCCCCATCATTACCAAAAATAGAAAGTATACTAATTATTCTATGTCATTTTTTCCCCAGTGACTTACTAAAGTTGAATAACATCACTGCAAGGCTATGAGAAGTCATTGCTGAAAGTACCGCTTTCTTGCATCTAAGCAATCCCAAGGCAAAGGGGCTTCTGCACCTGCTGTTTCTGAGGTACTAAGCCACGCTTCTTTACGAAAGGGTGTTTTCTCACAACATCCCTGGAGGGCCGGTGTGCTCCTCTCAAGAGGCTCTGCCCTTGGATGACTCATGGGCAGTGAGGTTTTAAAGGAGCAGGAGCAAACAGTAAAGCCCATAAAGTCAGGGAGTCAAAAAGATGCCTTTGACGATGAAGCGTGAGCTTCACTCATAAAAATCTGATGACGTTCAGCATGTCCATGTCTGCCGTGGCAGGAGGGATATGAGAGGGGGATGGGCCATTTCTCACTTTATCTCCCCACATTTTTCATTGATATCTTAGTTGTACAGGGGTTTTGCTTTGACATGCCCATATATGCATACAATACACCTCCATCTGACTCAGCCCCTCTGCCACTCTCCTTAATCCCCCACCCTTTCCCAAGCCCAGCTCTACAAACCATCACACACATATGTGAAAACAGAAAATGAAATATTAACCTTTCTTCACCCTCTGTTCACCCTCTCCCACCAGCCCCCACCACAGGACCTGTTTCATCTTCCTGTCATTCGTATTTTTGAAGTGTGTGTTAATTGTTAAGTTTTACACATCATATACAGTGCCTTAATCACATTGATACTCTTGCTTACTCTCACTTCCCCATATTCACTACTCCCTACAGAACCTAAGTTTGAGGGGATTGCAGGGGTGAATCCTGCTGAAATACACGGCAGCCATTTTACAGCATGTGGCCATTAGGAAATGGACCAGGTTGTACACACAGAGGTATCGCTACCCTCCTCTTATTCTGTGGCATTCTCCAACACTGAGAAACCAAGAGTGATTTCTGTCAGTTTGCTGGACTACTATGGAAAGGGTCAGAGTAGCATCACTTCCTTTAGCTAGCTCTTAAAGCCAGCGTTAGTGGCTCACACCTGTAATCCTAGTTGCTCAGGAGGCTGAAATCTGAGGATCACAGTTCAAAGCCAGTCCCAGCAGAAAAATCTGTGAGATTCTTACCTCCAATTAATCACTAAAAAAAAAAAAAAAAAGCTGGGAGTGGAGGTGTGGCTCAAGTGATAGAGTGCTAGCCTTGAGCAAAAGAGCTCAGGGACAACACCCTGACCCTAAGTCCAAGCCCCAGGATTGGCAAAACAACAACAAAAACTCTGACCTGTGCTAGATGTGCCTAGCATTTTAAGTTCCTAAGGTTGGTTGTATCTGAGCTGGGAAACATGTTCATTGGAAAGACCTTCAAATTTGTTCCTGAACACACTCCAGGAACTGTGAGATTAAGTCAACTAGAAGACAGGACAAAGAACAAAGGACAAGTCCCTTGCTGGCTAAGGCACTACAGACCCCATCTCATCTTAAAGCTCACCCTGCATTTGATGCATCCTTCTTGATAAATCCATATCTGGTCATCAGCACCAACATCTTCCATCACCTGTATTCTAAGAAGCTTCAAGTCATCTAAGTTTCCGTTGGTTGACATAAATAACCCTGTTGCTTTGTTTCGAAGTCTGAAGTAAATTCGCTTCTAGAAGACAAAAACCCAGCAATAGTCATACAGAGATTGTACTGTTAGAGGAGCTAGACAGATATTAACACTTGCAGAGTCTAACGTGAGGTATGGATGAGGGAGTCGGGTTTTCAGACTTGTTTTTTCAGTGATGAGAACTGGAAAGAGCTAGTGGTTCATGCCTATAATTCTAACTACTCAGGAGACTGAGATTTGGAGGCTCATGGTTTGAAGCCAGTCTAGGCAGAAACATGCTCAATACTCCATCTCAAATCAACCATCAGCGAAAGTTCAAGCTGGGGGTATGGCTCAAGTGGAAGAGTTCCAGCCATGAGTAAGAAAGATAAGCGGGGCTGGGAAGTTGGCTCAGTGGTAGAGCGCTTGCCTTGCATGCATGAGGCCCTGGGTTCGATTCCTCAGCACCACATAAGCTAAGCAAAATAAAAAAAAAAAGCTGGAAGTGGTGCTGTGGCTCAAGTGGTAGGGCACTAGCCTTGAGCTGAAGAGCTGAGGGACAGTGCTCAGGCCCAGAGTTCAGGCCCCACAACCGGACCAAAAAAAAAGAAAGATAAGCAAGTTTAAAGCCCTGGTACTGTCAAGAAAAAAAAAAAAAAAAGTAACTGGGGCAGGGAGCCTGCCTGTGGATAACAGAGCTTGGGACCCACCATGTTTGATGTTGGGTTTCAAAGCATTTCTGAACAGCCACACCTCTTTAAGACACAGACAGCCCAAATACTGAGCGGTGGGGGAGAGGCCAATCACAAACTATATAAGAAAACTAAAAAATTGAATTGCAGTTATTCATACTGGCTCATGTCTATAATCTTATTTGGAAGCAGACATCGGATCAGCCAGCCTGTGCAGAAGTTCACAAGACCCCATCTCAACGAATAAAACACTGGGTACAATGATGCATGGCTGTCACCTCAGCTATACTGAAGCATAAATGGGATTTCAGTCTAGACTGGCTCAAACATAAATGTGAGACTCTGTGGAAAAACAAGAAAGCAAAAAGGGCTGTATATGGCTCAAATGGTAGAATATCTGTCTGCCAAGTAAATGACTTGAGCTTAAACTGTAGTACTACCTCTCCCTACCCCCCAAAAAAAGTCAAACTGTATTTATAAGAAATAGTTTGGGGGCTGGGAAGGTGGCTCAGTGGTAGAGCACTTGTCTTGTCTGCATGAGGCCCTGGGTTCGATTCCTCAGCACCATATAAGCAGAAAAAAAAAGCTGGAAGTGGCGCTGTGGCTCAAGTGGTAGAGTGCTAGCCTTGAGCTGAAGAGCTAGGGACAGAGCCCAGGCCGAGTTCAGGCCTACGACTGGACCCCCCCCCCCATAAGGGGCATAAGGGGTAGGGAAAGTGGGAGAAAAATGAGGGAGGGGGGTTGGACAAGAAGTATACTTATTACTTTACATATCTAATTTAACCCTCTGTCTATCACCTTGACAATAAAAAAAAATAATAAATAGTTCAAGTCAGGTGCCGGTGGCTCACGCCTGTAATCCTAGCTACTCAGGAAGCTGAGATCTGAGGATTGCGGTTCAAAGCCAGCCCCAGCAAGAAAGTTGGTGAGACTCTTATCTCCAATTAACCACCAGAAAACTGGAAGTGGCGTTGTGGCTCAAGTGGTAGAGTGCTGGCCTTGAACTGAAGAGCTGAAGGACCACATCCAGGCTCAGAGTTCAAGCTCCATAATGGTCAAAAAAAATAACAAAAGAAGAAAAGAAAAGGAAATAGTTCAGAGATGAGTCTATTTACAAGGCTGGGAAGGTGGCTTAGTGGTACAGTGCTTGCCTAGCATGCATGAAGCCCTCGGTTCAATTATTCAGTACCACATAAATAGAAAGAAAAGGGTGGGAGGAGGAAGGGAGGGAGAGTGCATTTGCAGAATAGTAAAGAAAAATGTACCTGAGCAAATGGTCGTAGAGAACCGATTTGGCGACAGCCACTGAATTCATACCAGTTAGGTACTTCCGCAGGAGACAACAGGAACTGGCGCCCTCTGTAGTTGCCAAACTCGTAAGTAATCCATCTGCACAGAAAAACAGTGAGGTGCTGTCTCAATTTTTTTTCCCATAAATGAACTTATTACATGGATGGCCTTTATTTTTATATCCTATTGAATTTCAAAATTATTAAAGGATTAAAAATCCTCCCAAGTTGAATTTTAATCATTTGTACAACTCCTGCCAAAGGACAAGCTTTCTCTTAGCTCCATAACCAAAATCGCTGAGAAACTATTCAGAAAAACCCTGAAGTGGAGCTGTAGCTCAGTGGTAGAGCACTAGCTGTGAGCAAAACAGCTCAGGGACAACATACAGGACCTAAATTCAAGCCCCAGTGTGCACATATGGAAACACGCACACACACACACACACACACACACACACACACACACACTGACATATACTACATATATCTTTAAGGCTAGATGTGGTAGCACATGCCTGTAGCCCCAGCAGTTAGGAGGCTGAAGCAGGATTATGAGTTTAAGAACAGTCTGAGCGGATAGTGAGATGTTTCTTTTTCTTTTTTTTTTTGGTTCCAGACTGGGACTTGAACTCCACACCTGCCACCATTTTTGCTCACTAGCTAGCATTCTAAAAACTAGCCATGCCTCCAACCTTGTAAGATATTTCTTTAAAAATCAAAAACGTATTTTATTAGGTCAACAAGTAGTGAACTTACATGCCCCCAATAACCTGAACAGATCGTATTTGTGTGTTGAATCCCAGTGACTGGAGATTAACTGTTTCAGCATTAAGTTCAATCTTTTTTCCTTTGAAGTTTTCTCTTTCAAAAAGAATAATTGCTGGTTCAGAAAATTCCTGTTTGGGAGCAAAAATCATGTTCTGTTAATAATTCAACGTTTATATAAAAATGATCCAGTTACAAGGACAAAGCCACAACCTGCCAGATTGACTGATTCATACACTCTCTTTCCCAGGAGCCTGGGTTATTTCCAGGTTTCATAGCTAACAGGAAGCATGCAGGGGCCGGAAGTGTTTCCACTGCATATATAGGACAGCTGATGGAAGCCACATTATAAAAGAAAATATACCAGGCACAGAGAAACAATTATAAGCATGGAAATATGAACACTTCTGATGCAATTTATATGCATTTATTTTTCCTTTTATTTTGCAAATTCTTTATTGTGATTAAGTGAATACATAATTTCACAGTATTGTGGGATAGTGAAGGCTTAGTTAAAGTCACAAACACGTTCTAACTTTCATGGGGCAAATTGTCTATCGTGGTCTATAAAATTTATGAGTTCTATGAGCTTTGACAATACAGTTATTTCTTCTACATCGGGTGATGTAGATTTTTCAATGGAAGCCATGGGCATAAATGGTAAGGTTCACAGAGCCATGGTAGCCTGGTTTACAATGGCACAGCGGAGCCTGCCCTTGCACGTGTTTTCAGATGTCCTTTGTTTGAATTGGCAACATGACAAGGATTTTTGTCATGCTTGTGAACCTTCCTGTAGGAGTCACCATCCAGGACGGGCAGGGAGGAAGGGGGTGTGCAGAAATAGGGTAGGGGCTACATGTTCACACTTGACCATGATTGCATGGTAAAGAGAATTAAGCACATATACCCACTGGTTTCAGTAAAACAAAAAACAGCAGCCTTTGTTTGTTTAAATTAGGAATTTGACCTTGAACTAAAAATCTGAGAACAATATTCCTAAAATAAGAAAATATATGCCAAAAAAGCATGTGGGATTACAGTGGTTTTCCTACTTGCTTAAAGTTGTATAGCAAAAATATGGCACTTTCTGGCTTCATTTGTATGATGTGTCTGTGTAGAAGACTGTCTCATCAGTAAACAGAGGAGGTGAGTGAATGTGAGTATGTGTGAGTGTGTGTGTGTGTGTGTGTGTGTGTGTGTGTGTACAGAAGTGGGGTATACTGTCTAGGAATTAGCTTATATAAAACATACAAAAAGGAGACAACAAAGATTATAGCAGCATTACATTATCACTCTGTACATTTAGTGTGTTTTTCTTTGATGGCATGCCAAAAATGTTCTAAATACTTAAGTTTCGTATCAGACGTCAGTAAAACAACTTGGAAGTATTAAGTTACAATTAAAAATGTGAGCTGAGCATGGTGGTACATGCTTATAATCCTAACACTTGGGAGATGGAGATAGGAAGATTCTGAGTTTGAGTCCAGCATAGACTCAAACGGGTCTCAAAAGAAAAAAAATACATAGAGAATTAGGGATTTAGCTCAGAGGTTATTTTTGCCTAGCATGCACATGGCTCCAGATTCATTCTCAAATGCACACACACACATACACACACACACACACATAAATCTGTGTGTGTGTGCGCGTGCACTTGAACTCTAGCCCTGGGTGCTATATTGAGTTTTTGCTCAAGACCAGCACTCTACCACTTGAGCCACACCTCCACTTCCAATTTTTAGTGGTTAACTAGAGATAAGAGACTCACAGACTTTCCTGCCCAGGGTTGGCTTTGAACCTCAATCCTCAGATATCGGCCTCCTAAGTAGCTAGGATTACAGGCCATGAGTCACCAGCTTGCGACTATCTGCCTCCAATGTTAATTCCTCAAGAAGTTTTAGCTGCAATGTGAAGCACCCATTTCTGTAAGGCTGTATTCACTGACAGATGTACTTACAACATCTATAAAACGAAGAGACTTGAAGGTTGCTCCAGGCAGGAGGCCCATTGCAGAGAGGCAAGGATAGTGTCCTTCCTCCAGCACGTACTGATTTCCAGAGAAATTTTCTCCATCGTATGCAACCCAGCTGCAGTAGGGGGGAAAAAAAACAACACAGTACGAGATTTGAATATTCCTATTTAAAAATAGGATTTTTAGAGGCAGTCTATTAAAAAAAAAATCAACCTAACTTATAACTCAGTGTTCTTTCTTTGAAAATATCTGGGTATATTTACAGGATTTCATCTTATGGCAAATTAATATTCCTTAATCAGTGAACTTGGCAGTTAGATTTAAAACTTCCTTCTCTGTGGAATGGCCCACGTTTTGATTCTCCCACCCCCAGTGCCACCATACTTCCACCCAGGTGGCTTCAGGCCTTCGGACATCTTTCTTTGTCAAACGATCTCTCTTCAACCCTTGTAGGTGGTCAGTCACTTTAGTTTATCCATATCTTCTGAAAATTTCTCTCACTATTCTCTTTTCCTTATTTCCAATCCCTCTGTCCTAGACCAGCACTGAAAGCATCGCTGTGACATGAATACATCACTGGGTTTCTCAGGGCCTTTTCTACCTTCTTCCAAGAAGTTTTATGTTTTTCTCTTAAATCCAAAAGGTGCTCACTGAAGACTAATTGCATGTCAGTTCCTTTCCTATTGCTAGAAATGCAGCACAGAACAAAACGGAGTCCCTGTCCACTTGAGGTACCTACTCCAGTGAGCCAAAACAGACACTAACTCAGCAACAAAACACACACATCTGGTAGTGATAAATGAAGCAGGGCTGGGAGGTAAAGAACTCAGGGTGGGTGGGCTGAAGGTAAGAAACGGAAGCTTCACACTCAGTCTGGATTTGAGTAAAAGGCAAGAGCCCTTTCGCTGTGCACTGCTAACTGGGACAATGGCATCTCAGCCATAAAGACCCACAGGACTGACTGCAGCTGTTATTATCACTCCTTTACAGATGGCTCCCGGCGTTTCCTGAGTTTCTCTCACCTTAGACTTTACCTTTCCTCATGAAGCTTTTGTAAAACTATTGCATTCAGCCTGGAAAGCTGAGTCTATTGCTTGTGTCCCATTTTATGTTTCCTGTAGCATCCACTGAGAGTGGAGAGTCTTCATAGATGATCTAATGGCCCAGTCCATGCTGGCTTCACTCCTGCCTAACACAAAACCCTCGTAGGCTGGGAATGTGGCTGGCCTTGGTCAGCACACACCTCCCCTTGCCTATCACATACAGGGCCTACCCTACTCTTGTATGCCTGTAAAAATGCTGGCCTAGGGAGGTACCTTAACAACCACCTCAAGTCCAGCTCTCCCTTTCCAAATGATGGAGCAGGCATTAAGAATACATAGCCGGGCACCAGTGGTTCATGCCTGTAATCCTAGCTACTCAGGAGGCTGACATCTGAAGATCGTGATTCAAAGCCAGCTGGGGCAGGAAAGGCCATTAAACTCTTTATCTCTAATAAACCACTAGAACACCAGAAGCGGCATGTGACTCAAGTAGTGGAGCGCTAGCCTTGAGCTGAAGATCTCAGGGACAGGGCTCAGACCCAGAGTTCAAGCCCCATGACCAACAAAAAATAAAAATAAAGAATACAGGGGCTGAGAAGGTGGCTCAGTGGTAGAGCGCTTGCCTTGCATGCATGAGGCCCTGGGTTTGATTCCTCAGCACCACATAAGCAGGAAAAAAAAAAAGAGCCAGAAGTGGTGCTGTGGCTCAAATGGTAGAGCGCTAGCCTTGAGCTGAAGAGCTGAGGGACAAGTACCCAGGCCCAGAGTTCAGGCCCCATGACCGGACCCCCCACAAAAAAAGAGAGCCTGGCTAGATTCCACTGCATGCTGGAGCTATCTTTACTTCCCCACCCACGCTGTCTAGACTTCAGTGCTGCAAGGCATACTTCCCAACACACACACACACACAGACACACAGACACACACAGACACACACACACGCGCATTCATGCACGCACACACGCAC